GGGGGGGTATAGATTATTGTGCAGAAAGAATCGGGGCCAGAGCATAGTATGAGACGGCGGGGGAGAGGTGAAAGTCATACACTGTAATTAATTAGCATTGTGCTCCCTGAGCTTAGTGACCTGTTTCCTGGATCGCTAGCCAAAACTTCATGTTTTAGATTTATGGCCCGGCAAAGCTCAGGCTTCCTAAGGCAGAACGGCTCTATCTATCACTGATAGTACCCTCATCCCTCAGCACCGGGACGCGGTAGAGAGGATGCATCTCCCAGGGGCATGGGATCTTCAGTTAGAGTGATTAACAGAGAAGACCATTCATTATCATATTTCTCACATCACCAGACATATTCAATGGCATGTCCTTTCGCTGGGAGAGGAATGTGTATATTCAGATAATAGAGCAGAGAGAGAGTGTGTGTGTGTGTGTGTGTGTGCGAGTGTGTATTTGAGGCCGGGGGTTGGTGTGTGTGTGAGCAGGGATCGTTGCTGACACTATTTCCCTGGAAATGCGTGCATGTTTGTGTGTTTCCTACCTGTTTTATTGCGGTGACAGTGATAACGAAGAAGAGGGGCAGGCCGCTGGTGACTGGGCTCGTGGGGGTGTCGATGATAAGCTGCAAGAGAGAGGAAGAGAGGAGGAGTTTGAAGGGGGGACAACAGAAAGGAGAAGGGAGAGGATGCTGAGTAAGGAAGTGCAGCAGGGAAACGCTTCTGTAATAAGGAATCAAGCACCAATCTGGCACCTTTAAAGTATCCAAGTCATCAAATCATGTTTGATTTCCTCCATCTGCACTCCATTCTAGGATAGTTCACTTGTGTTTCCTTTCCTATTTTTTAGAGACAGTACCTATGCATATGACCCAGAGGAGTACAAACATTGCCATGCCCCGTTTGTCCCATTAAGAGGGTGCAGTATTTCACATGCTACTGATAGAACACACAGCACGCTAAGACCTCAGCTGAGGCGGTGCTGGTAAAGAAGTAGCTGTATCCTCCTCCTCTATGATGAATTTGTCCTTGGATGTTTATTCAACATTTGCTGCAGTTTAGTAGCTCAAGGAAAAAGCTGCTTCTCTCCGATTTAGACGGACAGACACTGAGCAGCACAGCACTCACTATTTCAGGATAATATGGTGTAAGCAAATTCAAATGGTGTTGGTAATCCTCATCCAGGTAACCTCAAACACAAGTGCAGGACTTAACTGTTAATCTTGGATAACTGCATTTATTTTGAAATCAGGGAACAATGAGAGCAGGGTCTGAACTGCTATTAGCACTCATTTGATCGGCCAGTGCAAACGATGGCTTTAAGAACCAGCACCTTTTACCAACCTGAGTTAGTTTAAGCCTATGAGGACCTGAAAATGTAACCTACAAGATCATAATTAAGACATTTTCTACTGTTTTCCCCAAGGTTTACGCATTTTAATTCAGAAACTATAAGAAAAGTTAGCAAAGTAAACTTACTGACGTTTGAAACGTGGCAACAACCGTTGGATGAACTGCCATGAATTTCGGTAGAGACATCGACGTTCCAAGTAAAGTCGAGCAAACTTTGCCAAATTATCTGCGGTGTTGAAATGTCTTCACACACTTTTCTGGTTCCACAGATCTAATAACAAGCAGGACACTCTGCACCAGCGAACTCTGAATAACCCTCATGTTTGCAGATTTGCACCACATACATTACAAATCTTCTACAAAATACTGAAGAAGAAGAATTAAGATGTTCTTGGAAAATGAGAAGCAATAATCTACACTACTTAGTTTTATATGATGTGAAGCCAATTAGGCAGGTGTAGGTAATCATTTTTAGAAAACGCTAGTTTTAACAAATGACAAATAGAGTTGGCAGAGTATTTCCTTGGAGCTTCACTGTTGTGTTTTCAGATTATAAGAATGGCCGCTGCTTATGGTTTTCATGAAAATCTCACCTGGACCAGAAATATGACCAAGAAGTAGAAGTTAGCGATTCTTCTGAACTGCTCAAACAAATTCTTGGGAATGAAGTTCCAGGAGGTATACTGTGGGACAAAGCGACAGCAGAATTACTATCACGCACATTACAATAACAGAAAGGGAAAACACATTGTCGTCCGCTCCCTCCGGCGAGAGAAGTGGTGACGCAGGGTTTGACGAATGCACGCAAAGTGAAATGTGTCATCCTTAAAAAAGAAACATGGCCACAAAAGAGATTACATGGTTGTCTAAAGACGAAAACAAAAGCAGGGGAGGATGATGAACGGTGTCATGGCTCTGACTCAGGGGCTGCGGCTCGCTCACCTTGGAGGAGACGATGCGGTTGTCGGGGTAACGCTGAGGGATGTAGGGCTCAGCCCCCGGAGGAGGTTCTTTATGACCGATGTACACAGTCCGACTGTCCACCCAGATCTCCTCCCCCACACACTGATGCAGAGAGAGAGAGAGAGAGAGAGAGAGAGAGAGAGAGAGAGAGAGAGATATGTAGAGTTATAAATGGCAAAACAGGAGGAGAGAGAAAAACAGGGTTAAATCACACTGTTCAGCATCGGTAATGTGTTCACTTACAACACATTTACTATTTACTATCATTGTGGAATATTACACTTATAACACTTTGTCAGCCGCCCTCACAAACACCTTACAATCAAATCTCTTTACAAACATGCTTTCACTAAATGCACAGTGCAAGACAAATGTGTACATCTATAGCATAGAATTAAATTCTTTACATAATGATGCTTCTTTTAAGCAACAAATGCCAATTTTTACTGAATATATAATTTTGTCTTTTGTTTCAGCACTAACTAATGATGAAATAATTAGACTCAATTGATTAGAAAATGAATCATCAAGTAGTTTGACAAGTATGATGATCATTTATCAGGCAAAACTGCTTAAGATTCAATCGTTTAAGCTTCTGAAATAAAAATGATTTGCTGCTTTTCTTTATTTTATTTCATTGTAAAATGGGTTTTTTGACTATTGGTCGAACAAAACAAGCACTTTGACAAAGTCACAAGGGGAAACTGAGATGAATATGGATCATTATTGTTGTGGCGATAAACAGATTAAATGCAAAAACATCATCCACATAAAGATCAAATGAATTATAGCTGAATTATGAAGGAGTCTGCCTAACTGTCCTGGATTAAACCGTCAAGAAACAGAACGTTACACAAGACTCACAGGCCAGACTGAAGGATGAGTGTATGTTCGTTGATGTGTGTCCGTGGTATCGGCTCACACACAAGTGTGGTTTTATCATTTATCTTTCCACTTCTTCCTGCAGCACCTCTCTGCAGTCTGCTCCATGCTTCCATTACTCGTCTACACAGAACAGCACTGTTGGTTTCACTCAGAGACTGACGCTGCGATACGAAATAATGACAGCACATTGGATCGTGCGTACGCACACCTCCAACTCAGTTCATCTCTCATTTATGTTCCGATCTAAGTAGGTCCCAGGGGGCTAACGCAGTGCATTCTGGGAGTTTAGCTCAGCACATATTTTTTTTGTCAAGGTGTCCTTCGTCACAACACTATTGTAGAAAGAATAAAGAAACAAAAAAACTAAAGTCGAGGGACCTCGGCATTCAGCTATTTGTTTCCATCTGGCTTCCTACACGGCTCCTGGTGCGCTGGCCCGAGCAGGCGGTGTGAGCGTAGCCTTTGGACAGCAGCCTGCCTGACACAGCTCAAAGCAGAAGTGTTGACCATTAGCGAAAAGTTCTGGAACAAGCACTTCAGTGGAAGCAGCGCTTCACTGCTTAAAATGTCCTCAACATTTTGGCAGAGAAGTAGCTCATCACTGCCAGTGACAAAATCTTTTATTGTTCAGAGTCCACGTGTCTGCTCCGCAACCTTGTAGGTTCAAATCCATAACTTTAAAAAAAAAAAAGTACTGCTATAAACTTACATCATTTAGTCTGGACACAAAATCACATGAGGGATAATTTCCCTTTTCCTGGTGAAATCTGCAATTAACGAATCTGCGTCACAACAGCTGAAAAAACTCACAGTCACGGATCTAAACTCATCCACAGTGATCAACAGGTGCTTGGCAGTGGGATGAAAATAGACACGGAGCCAACAGCGTCAGCCGACTTGAGGCCCCTCCAAAACATTAGGGGAGAGGGAGGAGGGGGGGGGCACCGTGACCCAGAGAGACACAGTGAGATGAAAAGTGAGGTGGAAAAAAAGAGTTGCAAATTGAAGTGGAGCTATAGCAGCAGGAGCAGGAGGGCCGAGGAGGACAAAAGAATGAACTGACAACAGTCACAGCGAGAAAGGCAACAAGGACGGGAGGAAAAGACTGAGGAACAGGTTGAGAGGTTGGAGGCTGACGAGGAAAAAGAAACATAGAAGCTGTAATTGTTGAGCTGTTGACCAGATGATGTAGCACTGGTCATTTTGGTAGATTGGTAACTAACCAAACCAAAAATACCATTTTTTTTAATTAAGTGTTTGCTTTTGCGTGATGTTTTGTATTTTGTGTATATGTTTTTGGTTTTTGTGTGCAGAGTTTCAATAAAGAAGGCCCATCCATCAATCCATCCATCCGTATAACCCCTTATCATTTGGGCTGGAGCCGATCCCAGCTGACATTGGGCGAAAAATAAAGAAGGCCCTGGTGTCCACGGTGAAGCCTTTCATCTAACCAACAGTCCCAAACCAAAGCCATGCAATTCAAAATGACAAAACAGAAATCCTGACGTATGAGAAGCTGAAGCAGATATTTTATAAAGACAAACGGTCCTCATCCCGAGGGAAGTTGTTGTGGAGCAGTTGCAACACAAAAGTGGGAAAGTGTGCAAATAAACATAATGTAAACAATAATGGCACAGTGATGATCCTTATTAAAATCATGATTATGATACAGCACATCCACTATGTTCCACTTCTACTTCTGTCATAACATTTTCCTCCTAAATCCACTGTCTCGCGCTGTCATATTTCTATCCGCACCCTTTTTGTTCCCTCCATCTCACGGCAGCGCGTGTCACAGTGTGACGGTGGACGGAGAAAGACACAGAGAGATTGCATTGTGGTTTGTAGTTATCTGATCATTAATCATCGCTGATCTGTGTCAACCTCCAGTCCACTGTTCCCTCTTCACTCTGCTGCTCCATCACACAAAGTGGCCGGCTGGTTGGATGCGGGACATGGAGGCTTTGTCTTTATTAACCACATAAAACCGCGTCCAAGCAGAGACGCCGGTCTTACATCACCATCAATCACCAGCGATGACGAGATGGATTTGAACTCCCACCACTGCATCTTCTCCTTTTATGTTTCTAAGTGGTGCGCCCTCTTGGGCGGGTATGGTTTTGAACTGTTTAAACTCTGGATTCAACATTAAGAGAACAGAAGTGTGTCTGCCAAGGTGTGAAATAAACGCTGCTTTAAAAAGCCCAGGAAGCCTCTCTAGTTCTGCCTTTTAACACCGGCTTATAGCACTTTACAGGACTATTGATGTGCAAAACCCTGACCCTGGCGGTGCCATGATCCATCCCCATGATGTAGCTTCTTTCTACGGCAGAGGTGTAATAAAAGGTATACACCATTAACTGGCCTGATTAAATGGTCGGGTATCATCCCTCCTCCATCGTCTGTCTGCAGAGGCACACGACCTGTTGAGCCAGTATCGCTCATTAACTCACGGATCAAGTTTCTCTGATTGAGCTCTTCCATAATGAACTGCTCATGCTCACTGGACAGAGGATGTAGAAACATACAAACCATGAGGACACAACACACACACACACACACACAAGAAGGACGTGGTACAATTTTAGCCCACAGATTGTCAATTCAACAGTCAATGTTATGGGAAAATAATAAAAAATATATTTTTTCCTTGAGGGCATTGGAAAAATGTGAAGGCATAAAAATAACATCACTAAATTGAAATGGGTTACAGCACACAGACTAGTTCCTAAAGTTAGCTAGTAATACATATTTAAACTTACTAACTCCCAATTGTAACTTGAATGCAGCTAACTGGGCAAGCTCATGTTAGCTCACTGATGTATAACCCGTTTAGATTAGAAAGTAAAATATATATTATAGAAATATCTGACCTGAGACTTAATACACTGCTGTTTGATAATGTCATAAACTGAAAAGATTTTAAATAATATGTTAGAAAAATAATGCAAATGTGCTTTAAACAGCAAAACATTATGCTAATAACGTCAGGCTAAATGACTAGCTCAATTACTTTAGCATAATCGTTTCTTCCCCACTAACTCTAAACAGCCATGAATACTACCAACTCTGAAACATATTTAAACTTAACGTTTATCATTTACACATTCCTAAAGTCTTTACTAGCTGACACGCTTCTTAATAAATCACTAGTATAAATCACTAGCGTTAGCTTAAGTACGGTGTTACCAATAGCTGGTGCAGCTGGAGAACTCAAAGTTTTATAGCATTTATTTTACACCAACGCTACATTCAAATGAGACAGTAGGACAGCTACCAAGAACACATTTCCTGGGTAAATTTCGGGTATACGAATATCTAATGATTTCAATATTCTCACTAATAGAAGCTGTGAAGTTTGCCGTAGCTTTGTGCAAAGATAAAAGGATCCGTGAGACCTTGATCAGCTGAAGAGGAAAGAGGTTACCATTAATCACCATAGCAACACAGTATGCAGCAACAGACGGCACGCTACGTCTGCAAAGGACCGCACGTTAAGTACAGAATGGAGATCAAATGTGTGGCATTTTCTCATGTACTAAAGCTGTGGAATTGGATTTGACCACAAATGTGAAGTATTATTGTTCCAGACAATATACTCGAGATCTTTTCTGTGCTTTTATTTGGTTTAATTAGGACTTCTCTTTGTGTGTTTCTCTGTGGACAACCTTTTTATGGAACAAAACCGGATGAAAGAGGAAACATCAAAAGCAGCAGTGAGGACAGAACTAATGAAGGAAGTAGAGGGGACGTAGCTATCAGGGAAAGGAAGCGCCATTAGCCATTATAATTATTTATTGCTACACAGGTGCAGACAGAAAACACACATGCCCCAGTATTTTGGTTGGAAAATACGATAAAAAAAAATAGTGACCTTCTGCCTGCATAGACTGTCAATGATGACGCAAATAACTACATACCAGCAACAACATCAAAGGATAAATATGAGAAGATTACTATAAAATGACAACATTTGTATTCTGTTGTTGCCCCCGCTCTCCCACTTGGCTTGCGGTGATCCAACTGTTACATAAGTCTTTAATCCAGCTGTGCTACTTCTCCCTCCCCCCTGTCTTCTCTCCTTTTCTCCCGCCGCTGTAATCTGAATTCTAAAAAAAGAAAACCTTTTTTTTTTTGAAACTGCGTCTGATGATGAAAACCTCTGTGTCCAGGGCACGCTGCAGGACACAAAATGATTCTTATGAGCCGGCACGCCGACGCACGGCTGTTTCCTCTGATATACACACGGGCCAGCAGGCAAAGCTTTGCTCAAACACAAATCCTGTGTGTTTTTTTTCACCTACAGCCTCTGTCTCCCCGCCAGGGCCCCATCTCTGGGGGGGGGGGGGGAGGGGGCAGCCAGGAATAGACTGCCCCTTGACCGTTTGTAGCAGCTAATGTGGCAAACGGTAATCTAGCAGCTTGTGTTCTGCCTTTCTCCGCCGGGCCAGGGGACTCAAAGTGCTGTAAAGTTGCTAGAAACCCTTCTAAAGCCCTTCAGCACTCCGGGACTCTGCTGCCACACATCTGATCAGAGGGAGACATGGCTGGCCTTTCTCTTGTTATCTGCCGAGGTCGTGAGAGGTCTCCGCAAGAATAACAGCCACGTGTTCATAGATAAGATGTAAAGGAGGGTGAGGACAGAGGGGGGGGGCAGGAGAAAGCAGCGGCAGATACAAATCTATATGTCGTTATCACAAGAGGCTGTTTTGTGAAAGGGAAAAAAGGTAAACATTAAAAAGAAAAAGAAGAGAAGCCATTTAATCCCCTATAAGGTGTCGTGTATCTTTAGTACGACCACCGGCATCCTTCTTATCCAGATCATGACCTCATGCAGTTCTCACTCTCCACGCCACTCTGAGGCATCACGCCATCGCTATTATTATTATTATCAGACGACAAAGAGGCACCAAAGAGAAGGGAGTGGAGACAGTGGACAAGTATTACACATGCACTGACCCACTAACACACACACACACACACACACACACACACACTTTATACTGTATATCTTACTGCACGTAGGCTTAGCCGTTCTTTTATGCCAACAGGGTGAAAAAAATGTAACAGATTTATGTTATTACGCAACAATATTTCCCATTTAAACTCCACGCACTGCAAAACACCTTGACACTATATTTTTCTTCACAAAAACTATTTACTGAACTATACAGTCTCAATTCACCGGCTATTTTCCTTGAGCCAGAAAAGCAGGCTTATGAGCAGGACAGAATGCCATCAGAATATTACATTTCCTCCTCGTTATAAAGTGTGCTGGACAGATCTGAATGACTGCAGATACTAATAAAGGTTTACACTCTCCTCACAGTGACGGCTTATGCACTAACCGTCAAGATGAAGATTTAGGAACCAGACAAATCATGGAATTATCCCCAAATATTGAACAAAATTCTTGAACAGAGGGCCACGCAAAGCATCCTGAACCATGAACAACCATTTCTACAGTACTTTTTAACTTGCCTGCTTCCTTCCTAATGTATTGCTTGTTCATATGAATCAATGTCAAACATCGAATGCCTGTCTCCATCCTCACAATGGCCCGCTGGACTGTGTAAACACCACAGACAACAAAAGGAAACAAGTCCAGGACTTTATCATTCTGTCCCCAACAAAGTCGAATATGTTGTGCTTTAAAACTGCATGTTGTCAATAAAGCAGACCAAAGACAAGCAAAGCAGAGTGCGACACAACTGAAAAATACTAATTTCCCAGCCACAAAAACACATGAAGGACAGGTCACAAGTCAATAACTGGGAGACGATACGGGATATGATGTTGAAAGGACATTCCCAGTGGAGTAAGGTGGACATAATCAAAGTACTTCCTTTCATAGCTGAAGCTTTAGTAATTCAACATCTTTTTTTTTTTTTTGACAATCTCACAATTGTGAAAGTACGAGAGAGGCTGGCCGTATTTGGCCGGTGACCTTGATGTGCGTTTACTCCTCTCTCTGTCCAGAGAAAAGGCTCGGCCGCCTTGCTTATCACATGTTAATCACCTTGCATGATGTAATGTTTGTTCTTCTGTGTAGCCTCATTAAGGGAGCAGCTGCTCAGAATATGGCAGGGTTAATAGAGGGTGAGACACAAGTAATAGGAGGACCAGATATATACGTCAACCGGCCCTCCAGTTCTGAATCAATAGCTGGATGATTGAATTAGTGATTAATCCCGTGTCTACTTCATAACGCTGCAGAGTGGGGACGCAGAAGGAACAGGGTGAGAGATGAGGGGCGTGTTCATTGACCCCCCTCCCCCATCCCTCCCCCATCCCTCCCCCATCCCACCTCCGCCTCACCCTTGGATCTGATTTCCCCTGATGGCCCTGCTGGAGCATCTGTCAGGCCCCCTACACACCACACACACGCACACGCACGCACACGCACACGCACACACACACACACACACACACACACACTCACTCACTGGTACAAGCCTGAAGAAAATAACATAAATAGGCACACAAAAGCACCTGCACACACACACACACACACACACTCACACACTCACACACTCACACTGATAGTTATCTTCACCACACCTGAGCCAGTTTTAAGGTCAGGTGAAAGGGTCGCAGACTGTACAGAGCAGATGTGACGATACTCCAGAGGTGCCCCGGTCTGATCACCAGACCTGTCAAAGTTGGTTCCAAATAGACATTTTATTCTCTAAATAAGCCGCCAACCAACCGGCTGCTTCCATGCCCTGGCTGATAAACCCGGTCTGCTGTGCTGATGGCACCGGCCTGTTCAGACCAGACCCCGGCCCAGTGATGTGGTCACAGCAGCTCACCATCATTTACTTTGCTGTTAAACACTGATTACAAATAACGACTCGGCCTTAAAGGGACTCTTTCTTAAAGTGTTTTCTACTGAGAGTGTTAACTTTAAAGCCTCAATATGTTCAACTCATCACTCCACCAGGCTGGAGGTGAGTAAAATTCAGTACTGCAGAGTCCCCAGCGAGGCCTCTCAGGTCTGCGAGTAGTCCTGATTGGGATTTATTTCCTCTGCAGACCAGGGCAACTGGAAGCAGTGAGACAGTTGACAGTGCAGCATGCATATAGTGTACGCTCACTAAAGCAATTTAACTGGGCCAGCCAGGTTCATTTCTATTCTGCACATTCACCAGCCATCACTGCATCTGTAGTTACTGGCACATTCCCCATTCAGCTCCAGAAAAAAAAACACACACACACATATTGTAAAGCCCACAGTCAATGGCCTGCCAAAAGCAGCCCGAGTGAAATGTTGATCACTGGAGATGAGCAAAGTGTTCATCATCCTGCGGGTCCACGTTCAGTGCACTGCTGGTGTGCAAGTTCATTTCCCACACACACTGTAGCTACGGGTAGATGTAACATGCATTGTAAAAATCGATGCACTTTGCAGACACAAGAGCTACAGTTGTGACAGTATAGTGACTAGACGTGGGCCCTTACGAATCTGCTGATGATGTTCCGGAGCAGGGTGAAATCCATCCTTGAGACACCTCCGGCCGCGACTTAACTGTGACAGAGACGTCGGCTCTCTTCGGATCTTCGTGAACGCTACCTACCGTGGATCTTTCCACCAGCAGCCATCGCTCACCACCACCGCCGCCGCCGCCGCCGCCGCCACCGCCGCCGCCGTGTCTGTGATAGCGAGGAGCAGCGGTCCCTCAGTCGGCTGTTCTGATTTTCATGGCATCCCTGAGAAGAGCCATGCAGAGACCGAGCGACTACAACCACCCACACTCACGCCGCTGGCTACATTTCAGGGGGAATTTCACCGCATGCAAACCACCGAAGGTCTGAGTAGACTTCCTGGTTCCTCCTCGTTCGTTGAACAGTTTTTTTACGGTCCTTTACGGAGGCTGTCTGTGTGTCCCGCTCTGTGGTACAGCGGTGGCCCGTGATGTAGCGGCAACGCGAAACGTCCACAGCGCTTTACTCCGTCAGATGACTGGGGTGCGCATGCGCACTGTGGTAATTCACTCACCTCTCCTGGAGTAGCCTACATCTGAATACTGCACTGTAAAAAGTGATGACCCTCCACATGCAGCAATCAAAACTCATAAAGCATGTCCCAAAAATAAGAGCAAAACTACAGAAGCCACAAATATATCAAAAATAATGTCACTGTTGTTGTGGTTTGCCAATGGTATGAGTGATTTGAAAAACTTGGATTATTTATAAATATATACATGGTATTCAGAAGTAGTAAAGAGAGTAAAATACTCTATGACAAGTGAAATAGTACAGAGGTATCATCAGCAAAATGTACTTTAAAAGTTAAAGGCAAAACAGCATTAGGAACATATTTAGATTATTATTTTATGTACTGCTGCTGGTTTAATTCACCGCATAACAATGCAACATATTTCATATGCCGATTAAAGGTTTTTACAATCTTAATCTGAGAAGTAATTTGCAACTATTTCATAACATTACTTCCCTCTTCAATGTAGTGGAGAAGGCCTATGAAGTAGGTTTAAATTAAAATACTCAAGCAAGGTACAGGTATACCACACTCAAGTACAGTACTTGATAAATGTACTATGTGAGTGTGCTATGCTATGTTTTGCAGATCTCACTATTTGACGTAGTTGTATCATAGTAGAGTCTATAGCATATATGTGTAACAGTATAACCTATATTTAGGAGACATTTCTCACATGCCCTAAATGCCAGCCACTTGCTTCCACAACATACTCACATACTGCACGCACACACTCTCTCCAATGCACACACATAAAAGCAAAGTCACTGTAATATTGAATTACGATAGTAATAATCCTACAAGACATGTATCTGTGCTCAGCAGTGAGCTTGTAGTAAACTTGCTATGTTGTAAATTAATATTCCTTGGTACCACTTTCCCTAACCCTTTAAGCTAATAAATAATTGCTTTATTAATTGTTAATTATCATTTACTAATGCTTTAGTTATAAGCCATTAATAAGAAGTCATTTTCATTTTGAAAAATCCCTTTTGGCTGGTGTTAATAATCCATTTATAATCTAATAATAAATGCTCATGTTACTCTCACTTTCTAATAAACCATCAAGTCTGTTGTTTTAACTATTAATAAGTCATTAATAAGGGTTTTTAATCATCACTCTGCAGTAGTAAGGGTTTATTAGTTAATTATGAGATTTTGGTCCAAATCGTCTCTCAGTCCCTTTGTAGAAATACAGTAAGTGAAACCAGTCAAAGGGAGTTTCATAACCCGAGAGCACAAAATGGATCAATAAAGAATCAGCATATGATTTAATAATTTTTAATAAATCCATTTGATGCAATATAAGCACTTTTCCATATGTGCTGTTTATGCATATTGATCAGAAGTTCATTTGATTATGAGAAGGAAGAAATCACACACATGTGGCCCAGATGACTTGTTAACATCATAATACCAACAAACAAACAAAAAATATCATCGATAAACTGACTCAAGTTAAAAATCAAGCTAAAGACACAAAACAACAGGTCTACAAACAGAAACAATAAGTTAACATAATAAGAAGACACTGAAGTCAGAGCTCATGTTAACTGCAGCTGCCTTGCCATTGTTGGGCTTGTTGTGACACAGTGTGACTCTTACTAAATCTTATCCAATTGCAAGTATGACCACAGAGAAAATCTAAAATAAGCTGCCTCTCCATTTGGGTGGTGTCCTCTGGCTGCAGGGCTGCGGGGCGTGACGTCTGCCCCAGACGTTTCATTTCTGGAGTTATGACTTTCAATTAGCGCAGTGCACTATTAATAATAAATAGGCATCCAGCACTTTTAGCTCTGACCTACTAATGCTTGATGCTGTGTTTACCTCCCTCAAGACCTCAGGGGCACTTAGTGTGTAATGATGAGTCTGCCTCAGTGGACGGATTGAATCACGCTCTTCGTTTATGGGCTGTGACAATTTCGTGCATGTTGTGTTTTATGTCACTGTCATGCAGTGGAAGACGTAAAATATCAAAAGGGCACCAGCTGCATGAGGTGGGGCACCAGCACGCATGACATTTTCTAGCATGTCGGGCAACCTATATGGCACCATGTTTTCTCAATTTTTAGGCCACCTTAGAGGGCACTGCATTACATTTTATCCACTGCAAAGGCACCATGGAGGGCACTCCATCACGATTTCTCTACTGGAAGGGCAAACTAGAGGGCAGTGCCTAATGCTTTCAAGCAAAGACACACCGAGAGGAAACTTCATCATGTTTTCTCACCTTTAAGGGGCCCCCAGAGGGCACTTTATTATGTTTTATCTAGTATAAAGGCATCCAAGAGGGCACTTTTGTTCAACCCCCCCCCCCCCCACACACACACACACACACACACACACTTCACACTTCACACTTCTCTCCCACTGTTCACCACCGTTGTCATGTTGTGGAGATATGAGTGCCTCCTATTCTCTTTTTACCTATTGGTCACACCTACAGAAAGCGCAATGGTAATCAAAAGTTTAAGATAGCTCATGCAGTGCCACCACAGCAGATATAAGAATAACATAATGCACTAAGAACACGAGAAAAGCTGACTTTTTGGAATGAAAAAATAACTTTCTCACCTCACAATGATGAACTCACAGCAATTACTTTAGAAATAAACCATAGAGTTTGTAACTATTTCTCACGGTCTGAATCTAAATTTTAAAAAAAAATCGGATCATGCACTGATCAGCAAATTATCCAATTTTCTTTTGGTTGATGTTTCCACTGATGTTGCTTTGATTATCACATAGCTGACTGACTATTACTGTTCCATCTGAGTGGAGGAACTAGATTATTGTTCGTGCCTTCCTTCTGTCTTCTGTGTGGGCGAGGGAGAGCTATGGGGCAGTGGGTTACTCACCTCATGTTGCCATCAGTCCTGCGTGGGAAGAATCTGCCATCTGCCTATCTGGGACATACTTTTCACATCAATAAGACATAGTAATGAGTGTTATGGTAGTAATCGAGACATGTCAGATTACTTGACAAATACAATTAGGTGCTGACATTCTCTGCAGACACAGTTGACTGCAGATGGTGGTGGAATATGGCAAAATGAGGCATGTTTGCATCTATAATCTTTAAAATGTGACATGTCAGGTTGAAGTACTTATATTTGATGCAGTAAAGAGTAAACTAATACTAATCTGATTAACTGCAAGTTAATTTAAAAGTGACTATTAACAAAGATGGATCCTGCATCATAAACTGATTTTGTGGCTCTTGGAGGGACCCTGTATCAAAGGTGAGTTTTAAACCTTCATTATTTTAGTTTATACGGTGCATGTTCTTTTAATCAAACTACTGTATGTGACACTCGGGGAAGTTGAGGCCAGGTCATATTATTATTCCAACATACGAGTAATGGTGGGATTCTAGGTTGTGGGGCTTATAATGAGAGCTCCGTGTATTGTTTGTTTTGTACACTGATTGTACTGAGATCTTGGGTACATAAACAATGTACATAGGGCAGCAGGTGGGGATCAATATTTTACAAAAGGCCCTCTACACGTCACATGGTTGACATACGTTAATAATACGATTACTTGACTAAAAAATTGTTTACAAATCTGCTTGAATTTGAGTCAATAACGGTTCAATCAGCCATCGTCTATATGCTGACATGTTGTTTTTTGGCTGAAACCTTAAACTGCTTTCCAGTTTTTTTTTCTCAGTGCTAAACAGATTTTAAGTGTCGTTTTTTTCATGTGTACTTTAATCATTACAGCTCTTGTTGCAGCGCAAGCAGCTGACTCTGTACTTTTGTCAGCACAAACAGTGGATCCTATTATGCTGTAGATTTGAATTTATTCCTGTATGAGAATAAAGGATATGGGCCATGGGATGAGGTTTGTGAGGAACAACTGCAGTTAGTTTGGATAGGCAGATATTACTGCAAGGCATGGGATAAAGATATAGATATTTTTCAAATCCCAAAAGTGATCAAGTGTAGAAAGCCTTGAGTATACAGAGTTGACTGCAGATTTTAAACAGAGCTTCATCTCCCCAGCTTGTAAACATAATTCATGTATATCAGAAATGTCATATTAGTGAAAACTGGCCATGCCTTATTGGTAACAACATTGTATACAACCAGAAAGAAGACGTTATTATTTTATTATTATTGTCATTATTATTAATATTATTAAAATTATCATTATTATTATTATTTGGGCTGTAGTGTTTCTAGTTTGTCTGTCTTAAAGATATCTACAAAGACTTAAGACTCAAGTGGATTTCATGAATTTGCAACATGCACTTTATTATCACAGGTCAGGGTAATAGTGTATTATTTAGGAAAATGAAGACCTCACTTGATGGCTGTTCAGAAAAGTAAACTCAAGTATTTGGTGCCATCTAGTGGCTGTTAATCACAAACACATTAGTTGCCTTTTCAAATGCGACCTGCATCTGCTCCATGGCCCTGTTGGTGTAGCTTCAGGTAATTTGGCAGCTAATTAAATGCTTTGATTGGTTGTAATTGGAGTACCGTTAAAGCAGGAGTTTACCCCGTATCATGGGGGAACAAATTAACAGAAGGTGACAATTAGGCCTATAGTGTTTTGCATACTGTTTATTAATTGATGAAGCTTCAACAGATTTGTTGTTGAC